AAGAGAGAGAGAGAGAGAGAGAGAGAGAGAGAGAGAGAGAGAGAGAGAGAGAGAGAGAGAGAGAGAGAGAGAGGAGCGACACAAGGTTGTTGTGCGGACCAAGGAGAAAGCACCCATAGCCGCAGAGCTCGGACATAGTGTTACCAAGAGAGAGAAAGGTGAAGCGAAGGAGGAGGAGAGACGAAGGAGAAGAAGACATAGCTAGGGAGAAGGAAGGAGGGACAACGAAAGTGAAAGAAGCCATAGCCGGGGTGAAGTGAGAAAGAGGAGAGGAGGAAGGAAGAAAAGGTGCCGGCAGCCATAGCCGAATCAAGGGTTGACCAAGGCGTTGACCGAAGGGTGACCAGTGTTGACCAAGACTTTGATTGGAGAGTTGATTGACAAGTTGGCTGGCGTTGACCGAAAGTTGGCCAAGCATTGACCAATGTTGACCAGAGCTGTTGACTGCGAAATTGACCAAGCTGGAGTTGGTATATTCCCGCAAAGCTCCCCTCGCCCTATGGATGTGCACTCACCCCATGGTACTTGCTGAGTCTGTCTTTCTCTTCTTGATGCATTTAGTCTCTGTGTATGTGGTCTAGAGCTTTGTTGACCAAACCACACGGGCTGAGTAGGGCTAAAGCTGTGTCTGACGACTCAATTGACCCGGAGGACACGAACCCTCCCAAGGACCGGTATAGACCGGAGGGCTGCTCGGTGTGGCACAGTAGGCCCAAAATCCAAGTTGTGGGCTGCACAACAAGTTGTCTAAGTCTTGAGAGGACTTGCTGATCGCGCCATCCTATTTGCGACGTTAAATAATTCTTGAGGAGTTACGGGGGATCTCCTTAAGTGCCTCCTGATCAGCAGTAAGTCCTGTAGTGACAACCTTAGTTCAGGTCTAGGCTAGCGACCCTAGTTGACAGGATCTTGCTAAGATTCTATGGTCCTTAGATTGAGTCAGTCTTAAGTTAAGTCAGTCAGGGGTGTGAGTCTAAGTGGTGAGGAGTGGAACTGACTTCCGGTTGTACGCCTGTCACCATGGTTGACCTGCATAGTGGTAAGAGCACCACCCCTTACACCAAAGCTCAGGAAGAGCAAGCCACCGCTGTACTTCAGGAGGGAAAAGAAAAAAAGGCTAAGAAGGAATTGATCAGGCAGGCCAAGAAGTTGGCCTTACATGAGGAGCAGGCGGTGAAGAGGAAGAAGTTGGAGGAAGAGATGGAGAGATTGAAGGAGGAGGAGGAAGAAAGGATGAAAGTTGTGGACAAGGAAGAGATAGAAGAGGAGGAAGAAAAGGAGGAGGAGCCCCTGCTCAGAAGAGGCGCAGGGCAGAGAGGAAAATCTAGTGGCACCAAGAATGAGGATGCATGGATGGAGAAGAAGATCTCAAAGTGGGTAGCTAATTTATCTCTGGGAGAAGAGGAAGAGGCCATGTTGTATGTTCCCCCAGAGGAGAAGGAAGTCGTAATCAGGGAGTGGGAAGCAGAAAAAGACCCACTGAGACGTCAGACTATAGAGGAGGAGGAGGAGAAGTTACAATGGAAGTTGTGTCTCAGTAGGGAAAATAAGAGGAGGATGGATGAGGCGAACAAAATGGCGACGGAGTTGGAGGTGATAAAGGCGCAAAGGGAGGAGATGCAGGCGCGAGCAGATATACAAGGAAAATTAGATGTTATATCTAGGAATATAGAACTCCTCGCCAGAGCCTGGGACGAGCAACACCAGTTTTCTAGAGCCTAGGATATTGCCTTACACTCCATTCGCCTAGGATTTCGGGATTTCGCATGCGAGATGCTGTTGCAGCACGTAGGTGCAGAAATGGAGGCGAGGATAGAAGGCAGCATAGGCGCCATTGAGGGCGCAAAGCTGGCCACTCCAAAGGAGGAGGAAGTATGTCCCCTTAGGGAGCCCGTTAAGATAAAGTTTCCTGAACCCTACAGTGGGAAAAAGGAAGAAAACTTCGATAACTGGGAGGCGAACGTTAACACGTACGTCTATTTACAGCATATCGTGCCTGAGGAACAAGTCTTCATTGCCTTCCTGGCCCTCAAGGACGAAGCAGCCAGCTAGGTCGCTCGCCTGCGTTGCACAGTGCGAGAATAATATGGTCGCCTATTCTAAGATCACCCCTCTCCCTGAGTTCTTGCGACTCCTTAAGGAGCGATTTGCAGATGTCACGCGAGGTGTCAAGGCCTCTGACAAACTGCAAACTATCCACTCACGCTAGTGGAGGAGTGCCAGAGCACTCAAAGGCATAATTGACGAGCTTGTAGCCGTCCCAGACCATGGGGTCACGGAGCCGCAGTTAGTCAATCTCTTCTAGCGTGCCATGCCAGAGCCCCGACATAGGCACTTTTTGGAGAAGAGCCGACAACCCACCATGACATATGATACGTTGAGTAGAGAAGTGGTGGTGTTCAAGGCCCAGTCCATGCCAGTTTCCACTTTCTGGCACAAGGACTTAGACAAAAGTAAAAAGTGGAAAGGTCGTACCATCTCAGGGCAGGTAAAGGGAAAGGATCATTTGATCCTTACGTTAGATGAAGGTGGTACAAATGAGGTCCCGTATAGCCAGATTGAGTGGGGCTTGGAGGAGGAGGACAGTAGTGGGGGTCAGGGGAGGACCTACGCTGCTGTTGCGGTTGGAGGGAGGCCACAAGGAAGAGGAGGAGGCCAGGGCCAAGGGGGACGGGCCTCAGGTGGCCGAGGACAGGGCGCTCAGGGGGTTGGCGGCAGGGGAAACCGCCAAGAGGGAGGTAGGGGTCAAGGTCCCCCGCCAAATCGCTCACGATCTTATCGGTCACCTCCAAGAAGAGGTGGATGGCACCCAGGTTTGCCGCAAGGCAGGCTCTAGGAAGATTTTGGCTTAGAGCAGTCCATATGGCAAAGGCGAATTGATCAGGATCAGTGCATCTATTGCGGTGATCCTGGTCATATCATCAAGTTATGCCCAAAGTATAGAGAAGCCCGGTATGCTGCACAGGCAACAAAAGGCAACCGCCGATAGGGGTCGCAACCGCCCTTACCCCTAGGCCATGTGGAGAAGAGTGCGTGCACCACAGAGGAACTCCCAAACCACATGAGCCTACGACAAAGGTTGCTGGCCAGTACCTAGACGGTTGTCCAGAGACTGCTTGTGTTAGAGTCTCTCTAGGTACTTCCTTCACAAGCGTGGCTGAAGAGTTGAAGGAAAGGATGCCTGCCTTTATATTAGTAGGAAAGCGCTGCAGAAGTTAAAGTTGAACTTGAAAGTCCAAAAATTAGCAGACCCTATAGTCAGTATCCTCGCAGACAACCGCGCTATGCGAGTGGAGGATTACGTTGAGGGAGTCCATACGTACATTCGCCTAGAGAAAGATGGGAAAGTGGAGAAAGTTTTCCATTCCTCGACTCTCCTCGTAGAGGACAACCTTCCTTTTGATATAGTCCTAGGAATGGACTGGGGAGAGGCAGCAGGGGCCACACTGCATTTGAGAGAGCATGAGTGTAGGCTCCCTAGTCCCACAGGTGAAGTGAAGACTGCTCGCCTATTTCATGTGTCAGGAGTAGATAACACTCTAGCACATTGCTGTCTCAGTGCTCCCGCATTCGCACGTTTAGTGAAGAAGGAGCAACTAGAAGAACAGGTATTTGTAGCCTACGTGAGGCCACTCACTGAGCCTAAGGAGGAGACACCCATGGACCCGGCTATTGCCAAGCTGCTGGAAGAATATACAGATCTAGTTAAGCGGCCTACAGGAGTAGTGCCACGGTTGATCCAGCATCGCATAGAGATAGAGCCTGTCAGTAGGACTCAAATAGAGATAGAGATTAGGCCCAATTCGTCTCCATTTGGAGCACCTGTTCTCTTTGTCCCCAAGAAGGAGGGAGAGCTCAGAATGTGTATAGACTATAGTGGTCTTAATGCTATCACAGTGAAGAATGCAGAACCACTGCCCCGTATAGATGATCTGTTGGATCGGGTGCAGGGCTGCAAGTATTTCTCGAAGATAGATTTGAAGTCCGACTATCATCAGATAGAGGTTCATCCTGATGATCAGTATAAGACAGCATTCCGGACTAGATATGGGCACTATGAGTTTATAGTTATGCCCTTTGGGCTAACCAATGCGCCAACAACTTTTTAGCGTTGTATGAACGATTTGCTTAGGCCATGGTTAGATAGATTTGTAGTACTGTACTTAGACGATATTTTAGTCTTTAGCAAGACCCTCCAGGAGCATGAGGGTCATCTGAGGCAGGTCTTGGAGAAGCTTAGGGAAGCTAACTTATCAACGCAAAGAAGTGTGAATGGGCCAAGACACAGGTTTTGTACCTGGGCCACGTCTTAGACGGAAACGGCGTTAGACCTGAAGACAGCAAAATCGCAGCGATTAGAGATTGGCCTATGCCCCGCACACTGACAGAGTTGCGGTCGTTCTTAGGCCTAGCTAACTATTATAGGAAGTTCGTCATAAACTTCTCTACCATCGCTGCACCCCTTCGCAGGTTGCTAAAGAAAAAAGCAATCTGGAAGTGGGACAAGGACTGTACATCAGCCCTAAAGAAGCTAAAGCGGGTGTTGATAGAGTATCCAGTCCTTAAGGTAGCCGATCCGTCCATGCCTTTCTTTGTTACCAGTGACGCGAGTCAGTATGGCATAGGTGTTGTTTTACAGCAAGATGATGGCAACGGATATAGGCCCGTAGAGTTCATGTCTGCCAGGATGCCTTTAGAAAAGGTAGCGATATCCACCTATGAGAGGGAACTCTACGCTCTCAGGTAAGCACTACAGTCTTCCCCCGAACAAAACGCACGTGCGTTTTATATGAATAAAACGCACGGGGTGCGTTGTATTTGTATACAATGCACATGTGTTATGCTACGAATTTTGGGTACCAACTCCGGGAACCAGACCCCCCCAAAAAATGAAGTATGTGCACTTACCTTTCAACAGTCAATGGCTCCGGGGTATCTGTTAAAATTGGAATGACACACATGCATAAAGAACGGTCCACATTAGGGGAAAGCACACACACACACACACGGGGCCTGATAGAGGGGGGCCCTTCCACCACGCACCAAATGTGCAAAATGTGAATGAATCTTACCATTGAAAATGAAATTATACATAGCCACATTTTTAATCTATTGTACATGTGGAGAGTAGTGGAGCGAGGCCCTGGCCGTACGTACGATTCGAACAGTCGGCGCCAATACGAGCTGTGCACAAGATTCGAACAGATGCGTCCGACATTGATGCAGTCTTGGAGCATCGCCATCACCTGCCAAGATCTGCCACGCGGCCACGATTGGCCATCGCAGTAAGACGCCAAGAGGACCTCCACCCGTCATCGTAGTAAGCCACCAAGAAGAGCTCCACGCAAGGCACACACACACACACACACACATACACACACACACATAGAGAGAGAGAGAGAGAGAGAGAGAGAGAGAGAGAGAGAGAGAGAGAGAGAGAGAGAGAGAGAGAGAGAGAGAACACCCATATGTTCTATTTGAATAGAACACCSWYGTGTTCGAATAGAACATACGTACGTACTATTTGAATAGAACATAAGTGCGTACTATTTGAACGTGCGTTCTATTTAAATTTCGGGGGTTGTCTTCGAGAAATCGACTTTTCCAGGGAAAGTTGAATAGTACATACGTGCGTTTTGCTCGGGGGGAAGACTGTAGAGCACTGGAAACATTACTTGGTTGGGAGACACTTCAAATTCTACTCGGACCACGAGACACTAAGGTGGTTGAAGACACAGGCCAAGATGACACCTAAGTTTACTAGGTGGGCCGCTGAGCTAGATCAGTATGACTTCGAACTTAAGCCAGTTAAAGGGAAGTACAATGTAGTTGCGGATGCTCGAGTAGGAAAGATGATTACTTTGGGGCAATAGTTCACTATTTGGATATAGGGAGAGACCTGCAGCAGAAAGTTAGAGAAGCATATGCACAAAACCCTATCTATAGTGACCCCTCCTCAAGAGAGTTAAGGAGTCCCCAGAGTCCGAACCAGATTACCGCACTACTGATGGGTTGTTATTTGAGAAAACTAACGTAGTTGACCGCCTGTGCGTTCCTAACAGCGAAGAGATCCGTAGCCTGATCTTAGGGGAATGCCACGACATAGAGGGACATTTCGGCTGGCAAAAGACACTAGCCAATTTCATGCGCACGTATATCTGGCCCGGAATGAAGGCCGACTGCATAGAATATGTACGCAGTTGTAAAGTCTGTCAAAGGAATAAGACTACTACGCGAGCCCCTCTTAGTCTTCTCAGACCCTTGCCTATTCTTGATAGACCCGGAGATTATGTGTCCATTGACTTTATGGATACACATGTCAAGAGTAGGCGTGGCAAAAGTCAAGTCATGGTCATAGTTCATAGGTTTAGTAAGTGCGCAATTTTTGTTCCTTTGCCTGCAGAGGCACGCACGGACTTAGTAGTTCAAAAGTTTTTTGACCATTGGGTCAGTGAGCATGGTATACCACTGTCGATAGGTAGTGACAAAGATACCAGGTTCACCGGTCAGAACTGGCAGGAACTGATGAAAGTTTTTGGCTCCAAGTTGTTGATGTCATCTGGCTGTCATCCTCAGACTAATGGTCAGACTGAACAGATGAACAAGCTCCTACAGCAAGTTCTTAGGATGTACATTAGGCCCGACCAGATCAACTGGGATGAGATGCTCCCTAAGGTAGCCAGTGCATATAATAATAGTGTGCACTTATCTACGTGTCGCACTCCCAACGAACTGCACAAGTCTTTTAGTCCGCGGAGACCGTTCGAGGGACTTAACCGGGATCAGATCCAGAGGCTACCGCTCGGTACACGAGAGTTTGCGATACAGCACGAAAAAGAGATAGCTACCGTAGTTGACAACCTCAGGAAAGCCCAACACAGGATGATAGAGCGAGCTAACCAGCATTGCCGCCCCTCACAGTTTCAAGTAGGCGACTTAGTCTGGGTCAAGTCAAAAGAGTTTGCTCCTGAAGAGAACATCTCACAAAAGTTGTTACCTGCGTATAGAGGACCGTGGCCAGTCCTAGAAGTCAAGGGCAGAGAGGATGCCTCCACACCTACCCAGTGTTCCATGCGTCAAAGTTGTCGCCTTGCGTCACAAGTCAACAGTTTCCATCACACAGATCTATGATTCCCCCAGATATGGATGGAAGATATGACATTGATGGGATAGTAGGTGAGGATGTCTTCAGGACAGGAGGTAGAGGTCATCCACAAAAACAACAAAGTCAGATTTGCATTTCAAGAGCCCGAAGACGACCGCTGGTTCACACGTACAGAACTTCTAGAGACAGCTTCCGATGTAGTCAGAGCCTACGAAAGAGATAAGAAAGGTAAAGGTCCTGCCTTAGACTGAAGTATTCTCGGAGGACCTCGAACTTAGGCCGGCGGGAGTGAAACAGTTTTCACCTATCTGCAGTCACAGATGCGGTCACTAGAGTTCAATCCCCAGGGCCCAGACCTTACCTTGCCCATGTACAGTATCGAGTTGACCCCCAAGTGTTTGAACCCGTGACCTGTATTTTGGTAGTTGTTTGATGTCTGTGGTAGGTCTGTGTAGCTGTAGGGGTTCGCTCTGTGGACCTGTTGAGTAGGATTCACAGCTCTGTAGAGGTCGTAGCTGTAGGTGTTCTGAAAGGTCAAGGTCGTAGCTGCTACAGTACTCGAAAGGCCAAGTCCACAGACTTCCGGAAGGTCCAGAAGTGGCCTTTCAAAGTTGTCTCACGTTTAGCCAGGGGCAAGTGGGCAAGTGGTGAGCCAAACAGCACTGAGTCGGCAGTGCGATTGCATTGAGTTGGCAGTGCAATCCCGTACAGTCAGCGGTACCGGTCCAGTCAGTCACAGCCCAGTCGAGCAAGTACCATGAGGGACTGTGTGCACCATGGGCCGGTGGGAAAAGGAGCAGACCAACGAGTTACAGACGTATAAATCAAGAGGCAGCGCCCAGCCATTCATTCATTCGCTGCGTAAGCCATGCGGAAGCGCTGCTACAGCGTCTTGTGCGAAGGTGGTCTGCA